TTTGTTTCCCTTCCCTTATGTTCATCTGTTTTGTCTCTTAAAGTCCTCACATGAGTGAAGTCATATGATTTTTGTCTTTCTCTGACTAATTTCACTTAGCGTAATACCCTCCAGTTCCATCCATGTAGTTGCAAATGGCAAGATTTCATTCTTTTTGATTGCCGAGTAATACTCCATTGTATATATATACCACATCTTCTTTATCCATTCATCCATTGATGGACATTTGGGCTCTTTCCATACTTTGGATATTGTTGGTAGTGCTGCTATAAACACTGGGGTGCATGTGTCCCTTCGAAACAGCACACCTGTATCCCTTGGATAAATACCCAGTAGTGCAATTGCTGAGTCGTAGGGTAGTTCTATTTTTAGTTTTTTGAGGAACCTCCATACTGTTTTCCAAAGTGGCTGCACCAGCTTACATTCCCAACACAAAGATACTTTTTAAGGACAGTTTTGCCAAGTATTGGACACTTGGTTGACAGTTTAATTCTTTTAGCACTTTGAATAGATTGGCTCACTGCTTTCTGGTGCCCAAAGTTCCTGATGAGAAATGTGCTCATATTCTCATTGAGGATCCTTGTGTGTGATGAGTTGATTCCTTCTGCTTTCATGATTCTTTGCAGAAAGTTTATTATAATGTGTCTCATGGGAGGTGTCCTCGAGTTCACCTTACTTGGAATTCACTAAGCTTCTTGGATATTTATACTCCTGTTTTGCATCAAATTTGTGGCTGTGGTAACTCTGGAAATCAGATTCTTCCCCTTCCTCAGGGTCTTCCGTTTTGTTACTATTTTTCTTTTTTTGATTGTTGTAGGCTATTTCTCTGTACCAAGAATCAGCCTCAAGTGTAAACTTAAGGTCTTTTCTTCTGGTTTCTTCCAAGCCTTTGCCTAGGCATATACTATCACTTTCTAATTTTCCCTGTAGATACAGTTGTTTTCTAATGTCTTAGTTTTTGATGCCTCACTCCCAAATAAGGTAAAAGAGGAAAAATGAAGGAAGAAGCAAAGAGCACCAGGCCTTTAAATCCACTAGAAGTCACTGGGAGAGGCAGACATATCTGCTTCCTTACCCCCATCTTTCTTTTTGGAACTTTAATTACATATATGGTCAGACCACCTAATTTCTGTTCTATAGGTTACTAAACTATTCATTTCTTCCTCAATCTCTTTTGGTCTGTATGCTTTCATTTCTATTGTGGTTTGTTTGTTTGTTTTTAGGATTTTATTTTTAAGCAATCTCTACACCCAACGTGGGGCTCACGGTCACAACTTCGAGATTAAGAGTTGTGTGCTCTACTGACCAGGAGGACCAGGCGCCCCTCTACTGATGTCTTTAAATTCAGTGATCAT